CGGGATAAAACTGATGATGCCCATAGCAGCAAATCTGGTATCTGTTGAATCAAGAGCAGTATCAGCATCCCCTTCCTCACTAGTCGGAGTTGGAAGAACTAGTGAGCTTAACATGCAAGCCCCAATTGCAATAACAAACGGCGTGTCGTTTGATAACTCTGCTCTGCATATTCCCCTCCAAACCTTCTTATTCTGCAAATAAATAAATAAATAAAATTACAAACACATAGTACTAAAAAAAGATAATTACTTTGTCACTCTTAGACTCTTACCTTGTTGATAGTTTTATGGGTATTATTCAAAAGGTGTTTAAGATGTAATGGTGAAGCTGCTGGTGGCTTCTTGAGAGAGAATAAAGTGGAAGTTGAAGAAGAGAGCGGTGTCAGAGTTAGGGAAGTCATGACTTCTGAGTAATATGGCTTTCAATTCAGGGGCTTATAACAGTTATTGGAAAAGGATTTTCACAATTTGAGTTGTGAGCTAGAATCTCGGGGCTCTCGCGTTTTGGGAAGCGTGATAAAACGTCGACGTTAGAGTATCCTGGTCGTACAAGAACAAAGACATGTGGGCAGCCATACCGGTTTTGAGTTTTCAGTGTCTTACACCGATCCCCTCCGCAATGAGCTGTCAAGTTCGGCTTCGCTCAAACATATTGTACTAGTGCTACCAACTCCGTATTGGTTAACGTTTTTTTTTTTTTTTTTTTATGGATGCGGTGTTGAATCGATTTGTTCATATCTCAACTAATTTTTTAAGTTTATTGAATATCTTAGAGTGTTTTTATTTTATTATTTTAGATAGGATTTTAGAAATAATATTAGATAATTAAATAGGGTGAGTATTACAAAGTAAAATTTAAAAATTAATAAAAAAACACCTCTAAGTTTGTTAATTTAACTAAACACCCTAATATATAAAAAATCTGTAAAATGACAAAAACACCTCACCCATCTACAATGCTAAATTCCGACTACTATCATATGAATCTGGCAGAAAAATGGCGTTACGACGCAGACAAGTCAGATCTGACCTGTCGTGAGTCGATATGGCCATTTTCGATCAGATTCACCACAGATCTGACCGAAAAAGGCCAATCTACGACCAAATCTAGCCTTCGACGGTCGTAAAAGGCCAAATTTGGCCATCAACCACAACCAAAGATCTGACAACAATGGCCAAATCTAGCCTTTTTTCGGCCAGATCCACTGTGGATTTGATCAGAAGGGCCATATCAACAAGTTACCAACCAGTTTCAATCGTTTCTACGCCGTTGTGACAGATTCCAACAACCATCGACGATGGTTACCGAAATCTGGCAACTATGGGTGGATGGAGGTATTTTTATTAATTTTTAAACTTTTTTTCTAGGGGTGTTTAATTAAATTAATAAACTTAAAGGATCTAAAAATAATTAAAAAAATAAAATAATATTTTTCAAATAATTAAACAAACAAGTATTTTGAAAATAGGGTTTGAAATAATAAAACAAAGGAACCCTTACAAATTTAATAAATTGATTAATCTATTGTACACCCAATAAACCTAATAGATCAGTCAAATTACAAATATAATAAATAACCATTATATGAAAGTAGAAACTTGAAATCATAAAGATAACTAAAGATGGAGCGTCTTACCATCTTACCACAAAACTTATAGTTAATAATTAAATTGAAAATGGTTCCGAAAGGGCTCAAACTCGTGACCTACGGCTTCGTATTAACATTACTGAACAGGCCCACTTCTAAAACTCTAATGGGCTTTAATTTCCTTTATAAAATAGTATCATTTCGCAAATATAAATTATTTCTTATAATTTAGTATAACAATTTACAATAACTTTAACTTCTGACGTATAATTTATCTTTGAAAAAATTGTTCAAAATTAAAATTGAAAGGCAAAAATCATTGGGCCAAGCTATACACGCACTATGTTCACTATTGATATAAAATAATGTATGTTGATTAATGAACATATAAATTTAAAGCTCTATTGGGCATAAACCAACATCTGCAAACTATCTTCTTCCTCATTTCCAGCTACCTCTGGAAAGAAAAAAAGACTAATTAGGGTTTACAACTTTAACACAAAACAGGAAGGACCTCCTTCTAGCTTGAATTAAATAAATAGAAAGAAATGACTGACTTCCAGGCGTAGCAGCCATGATTATATGCTTATTTATCATCAAGGTGGCACGGACCTTTAAAGAAATATGTATATAATACTGTTGCGGATGGGTATCCAAAGCCAACGATTTCTGCTTTTCACTATCTTCTTCCTCCATCATCAATGGCCGAAAAGCATAGATAAAGAATATCAAGAAAATACTACTTATCTGCATGATTTACAGTTATTGCCCGAATGTACAGGAGTGACTTTACTCTACAGTAATTGGTAACTTTGGCTCTTTCAGGCAACACCTTCCCTTCCATCTCCATTTTCTTCCTGACCTGATATGGCATGCAGCTGCTGTTGCAACTGTAAATAATAATCAAACCTTCAATGGCAGGATACAAGCTTAAATAATTAAATTCTATATGCCTACTTGGTGCTGCTTCTTTCACTCTCCCTAACAGGTGAAAAATAAATTATCATATATCTTAAAACAGGCACAGGAAGCAACTAGTAAAAACATAGTTCAGAGATCCTAATAAAACTCTAAATCATATATTAAAGAGAAAATATTATTATCAAGTTCAAAAAATCCTAAAAGGTAACTCACTTGATTGAATCTCAACTTTTCAGAAGTTAGTTCATCCGCTAAATTGACCATCCTGCAAAATATTAGATAAGAGAGAAAAAAAAGGGTGTCAAATAATTTCCTTACGTGGAAAAAGATACGGTCATCAGAATTAATTCAGATTTGAAAAGGCCGACCTTGAATGTAGCTCTGAGATCTTGTTAAGCAGCAAACATTCCCTCTCCGAGGCTGCTGTCTCAACCTGCTGAAACAAAATATCAGAGGAGAGGAAAAACATGTACTTGCAGTTAATCATGAAACATCAACACAACGGGTGTTAGACAAGCTTAAAAATGGGTTAATCATCAAAGAGCAGCAATTTCATTATTACATTAAGCTACTACATAACATATTTCTAAGCAGAGAAACTAAACCAGATTTTGGTACAAAGAAAAAGAGATTCCTTATTAAATGGTGAGTTACAATCGGTTAAAATATATGAAAGGAATGCAATAAGTCTACAACAACATTACAAGTGATGAATTCTAAGAATTAATAACGCACCACTCCACAAATTTTTTTGATCCAAGACAATGATTGACCACAGGCATTATGCAATTTATAGCGAATAAACCATGAATTTGCATTTGCGTTTAAAGATAAATAGTTAAGCATCATGCAAGAGACCATTCCACTACAAAGTCATAAACTCAAAACTTACAAAATAACCAAAAATACAGAATAGTAGATAACATGTACTTACACTTCCATTGTTCTCTGCACAGCGAGGCAGTGGAGGCAACTTTCCATTTTGAGAAGCTGAACCAAGAAAGGAGTCCTGTTTCAATACCATATCTCCTAGTACAATCATAGCAAGTATCAAACAAAGACGATTTTATTTACTTACCATCGACAGCCTCAGCTAGTTGCAAGTTATTCAATAAATTCATGATAAGATCCTGGCATTAAAGAAATGGGAAATTTTATTTCAGAATTTGAGTACTTGAAGGCAAACAAAACTAGAGGATAATTATCAAACATATCAATGGTATATCACTGTTTGTCATTCTTCCATCACCTGCTGAAGTGATGTCTGCTGAAAAAGATTCTGAAGATGAGGCACGAGAAGTGATGCTGGCACATTACTGTTGCTCAACTCCTTAGAGGATTGACAAGTTGGCTGGAAAAACATAAAAAAGAACATAATTTAATTAAAGGTCAACTAAATCCTTCAACTAATAAATTACCATTATAGTAACTCAATCCATGCATTTCGCAACTTGATAGTGAATAACACATAAAACTGAAGAATATAAACAAGCCACATAGATACAAGAAGCACTGTACACACCAATGGTTTGGGTTCAAACATCCAATCACCAACGCTGGCAGATTTCCTCAGAGGTGAGCCCTGAAAAACACAGGGTCAGAACATCAAATAAGAAGTATGACATAGTAGCTCGAAACTTAAAGCAAAGATTGGTCACCAACCTGTGATCGACGTGGAACTGTACTTAATGGAATATCCTAAGGAACATTTCTTAGTTAGTGACAGTCACATAACAGAACAATCATAACATAAGAATAGAGCCTCACCTTTACAAGATCTAAATTTTCAGAGGTTACCGAGAATCGCCCTTTAATTTGCACCAAATTAGGCTTTGACTTGTCATCCATAGAATCTCTATATCCTATTAGAGGAGAAATATTCAATATAATTCTGATGCTAGTAAATGTAATAGCAGCATTGACAAGAATGATGATGACAATAACAAAACATGAAATAAAACAATGATAATAATCTCAAATGCTTTTAATAACTTCAGTCACCTCCTGAAGATTTTATGGGAGCAGATAAACTGTTTGCTGAAGCTCGGTTTGGAAGCATCAAAGGACCACTAAAGCTTGGTGGTCTTCGAAGTTGGCTAGCTTTCTCAGTCAGTGGTTGAATATCATTTTCACACCTAATATTTAAGAAACCGTAAGCCAGACAATTTCAAGTGTAAGAGCATACAAAACCAAAGACATGCTATTATCTTTCTTCATATAGTAAATTACCAAACAAACATATTTCCTGTTTGTGGTTTTAACATTTAATCATTAATCATATTTCATACACCATAGAGAAATTTTTCAACACTTGCAACAAAATAATATAATAATTCATGAAGTACTTCCATTCTAGTGCCAAATTTCCGTATCAGGGGGGCAAAAATAATTGGTCTCATTCCAAAAAAATAAAAAAAATACCCCCTTGCCACCTCTTAATCACAATCAAAATTCTCTATAATAAAAGACCTCACACATTTATGTCTCCGACCATATAATGCCCCCGAATGAATTTTTTATAACCAAAATTAAAAAGTCTGCACGCTCCATGGCTAAGGGTCAACACCTCAACCAAAAATCTCGCCTATGTTACGAGCTGAAACAAATATTCACCCACCTAAGAAGTTGACATCAGAACTAGCCCTTCGGGATTATCATTACAGAAACGCTAAACAAAGCTCAAATTCACACTGCTTCCTAAACCCATCAAATGTGCTGTGACTTGGCCCCTAAAGTTGTGGCAACAACTTATGGGCATAAACTCCTGTATCTGCTGCTTGGGCACAAAATCAGCTTAGAGTAGAAATTACTGGTATTGCAAAGCAGGCTGTGGAAACATTGTAATGGTATTAAGAGAATACCTTTTTTTTTTTTTTTTGTTAAGTAAAGAGAATACCACTTGCTTCTCATATTTTATAAAAATCAATCCAATTCACAACATGTACCGCTACTTTTTCATCACTGAGAGGCCACTAAGTGAGGAGCAGTTTGAGAAAATAAAGCAATATGTCACTAAATACCTTTTGACATCATTTCATAGATACACAATGGAGATAATAAATGTATCAGAGAAACTTATTAATGAAATACGACGAACCTATCAGAGTTACGCCCCCTTTCTGATGATGAATGAGTAAGCACAACACCAGGCATGAGAGGCCCACTCTGAGATTGACGACTTTTAACTGATTTAGCCTTGGTCAGTATTGAGTCTTTTTCTGAGGTTGAAGCCATTGCCTCAGTGCTTGATCCATTTTTCTTAAAAACAATCTTCTCTTGAATTTCAGGGCTCTTGCCTTTCTTATTCAAGCTCTCAGACAGTCGTAACTGATCATTTTGTCCTCTGTTTTCAGTCTGCGAAACTTCAGCAGCAGAATTTGATTTCCCAAAACTAAATTGGAAATCAGTTGCAACCTGCGAAAAATGAACAAGACATTTATAAGCTTAATCTTCTTAAGGATCAAACTTCAAATGCTCAAATAAGAAATATAATCCTAATTGATATGAGCAAACAACAGAAAATATCTTAAGACCTTATCACCAACATATGATTTCATGTTTTCATCTTCATCCCTGACCTCTGGCATATCATCATCATCTCGTACCTAAAAGATTTAATAAGCTGGTATGAATTCACTATTGAAATAATCAGAAGGGGAATCATTTCACAAAATGCAGCATTAATTTAAAATACCTCAAAGAAATAGAAAAATACTAAAATTTACGACTTACTAGTGATGCTTGAGCTTTCAAATCTTCAATATCGAAGTTCCAGGCACTGACTCCTCTCTGGTACTCACTCTGGGGTGAAGACAAGAATCATGTCAGTAGAGAAAGACAGGTACTTGCATCAATCCACGTAGCTAACATCATATACATTCATATTTCAGGGAGAACAAGAACAGAAAGCCATGAACAATGATACCCACTCTGCTTATATAATACCACAGGGGAACGCTATACTCTGATACATAAAGGTCATCTTATTCAAGTTATTGTTTACGTTGAAGAAACTCTATTAAAAGTCTAAAACAGAATATGGTATCTCTTTTAATTAAATGTTCTGATGGAAGGTATTTATATGCCAATTGGCAGTCACTGCATCTTTCTTTGGGGTTCTCAAGAATAAAAAAAAAGGACAAGGTAAATTCATAAGCAAGAGAAAGAAAATCAGCCAAGAGTGGTACAGAACCTCAAAATGGAAACTGCCAATCAAGCGAAGTTAAATGTAAACATAAAAGATATTAGGAGCTTCAGGAACTGAATTCTGAAACAATAAAGTATGAATTCCAGAAAATCCAAAAGCCATAAACAGCAAAAAATATACAATATAAGTCCAACCAATTTTAAGTCAAACATAATGACCGAATCTGTTTCTTACCTGTGATATAGCTTCTTGTTCTGCTGAAGGCATTTTCTTCAGAGCTAGCTGTGCGGCATCTTTAAGCTGCAATATCATAGCAAATCCAACAAAAACATTTAGGACAAATGAAATCAAGAAGCCCAAGATATAGTGCAGCAGTATGATCGCCAACCTGAAGTGCTTTCACACGATTCCATAGAGGTGGCAAGTCAGCGAATAATTTCTTCACAGAAAGTTCTGGAGGCTTTGCATGCTTGAAAAAGGAGTGTTTTAATAGCTTCTCTGCAGTTGGCCTCTTTGCTTGATCTTTCACCAGGCACATAGCAACCATTTCTTTAAAAGACTGATCACAACTGGAAATCCTCTAATTAGAAAATTATTCTCGATGGATACCACATCACAACATAGCAATTACAGTTGAAGTCCTTGTAAAACCTTACAGCACACATACACAATAGAGAATTGCATTTCTGTCTATAGTCTAGCCAGAAAGAAAAGCAGTACCTTGGAGAATTTCTTGTCGCGATCATAATCAAGACCAGGAGGAGCATTCTGAATGGTCATCAGCAGAACCTATTAAAAGGAAGAAAAACACCTATATCAGATATTTCAATGACACATCTTCCCATATGAAGCACTCCCAGGATCGTGTTCTCTGTGTGTACATTATAGTTTTTCCTTTTTTCTTCTTTTTTTTTTTAGCAGTGTGTATACATTCCAGTTAGATCCATGTGGTGGTTGTTAATACCTTCATTGGAGGATACTTAGAGAAAGGTGCATGACCATGGGCCAACTCCAATGCTGTTATACCAAATGACCAAATATCAGCCCTGCAAAAGAATCACATTCGAAACTTAGAAATGGACCAACATACTATTTTCCAAAATACAATACAGTTAATTTTCTTTAAAGATGCAGAAACTTGAATTTACCATGCATGTAAGAATTCAACAACTATCGCATTCTTCTACTTAAGATAAAAACTTAAATTGGTACACAGGAGATTGCTTGAGTCCCAAATTTTAGCTCAATGAGATTAAGAGTTATCTTTAAAAAGATTACAACAAAGATGCATCCACATAGACGTGATCTACATCATTTAAACATGTTTTAGTGCCAATTACATCATCAACTTGATTTAAACCCAACCAAAATCAATCCAATCCGCCACAATTGTAAATGACCTTACACTTATGGCGTTCAGATTACCATGAGAACAATTTAACTAATTAAGCTGCCGCTGCAAATATAAGGAAAACTTTGGGTATTTCGAGGAACATAAATACAATTACCAATAACTGTGATATGCGGACAAGAGCAAATTTTAGGATGGTAAACAAAAATAAATTCTTTTGCCACGACCACCCACCATTTCAAACCCCAAACCCTTCCTCGCCCCTCAACAAGACAAAGAACAACCAAGGATACAGAGTATGTTCATCAGTATGAACTGAAGATGCTCAAAAAACTGACATGCAGAGTGGCTTCAGCTTGCAAAAAAATTATATTTAAAAAACCTCCAGGTTCTCAACTTTAGCTTAAACTTTTTACATGATATAATACTCACTTAGAATTATATCCACTTCCAGGCTGCAACACTTCCGGTGCCATCCTGCAAAGCAGAAGAAAACAGAATAAACAGGAATTTGGTATGACATACAGCAACAGTCAATACCAATAAAAATATGGTCATCTAACATATGACTTACCAGCATGGAGTCCCTACAAAAGTATTTCTTGAACGTCGTCTATCACCAGCATCAAACATGCAAGCTGAAACACCAAAATCAGCAAGCTTTACCACCCCATTAGTATCAAGTAGTATGTTTCCAGCCTGCGTAGACAATTAAATCAAACAAAGTTTGAGAGATTTTCACACATAGAATTGAATACACAGACAATTGAATAAACCCATCTTTGGAAATATTGAAAGAATTTCATGATTAGCAAACCTTGACATCCCGATGAATATGTCCCTGTCGATGAAGGTAATCCAAAGCCTTGAGAGTTTCTTTCAGAATAGAACCAATTGCAGCCTCTTCAAATCCGTCTTGGTATGCTATCTTCATGAGGTGCAAGCATGAACCCTCTGCCATGAACGGCATGACCACCCAAAGGTTACTGTCAACAACAAATGAACAATACGCCCTTATCACATTTGGATGATCAATCAAACTCATTGTTTGAGCCTCCCGGCGTATGTCATCCTGCAAAAGAACATAATCCATCAGCTAAATTAATTATGAGAACCATAGTGTAGGAGACAAACAATGATACCGCAAACAATAGGAAAAACGTTAAAAAGCTGCATAAAGTGCATGTATTTAAGGCCAATATGCCTTTACACAGCTTCACCTTAAATCCTTACTTTAATTGCACCTGAAAGACGTTAGATTTAAGATTATTGTTCGACCCTTACCTGATAACTTAGAACTTTTGCTTCAAAAGGTTATTTAACATGTTATCGGAGTTAAAAGTCTCAAGCTCAAATGCCTCAGATCTCAATTCACTCAACCAAATCTCTTGTTTCTCAAAAATAGTTCTCTCTGGTGGGTCAAGCCACAGTTATTAAACATATATTATATGGCTAGTTTATCATTCATGCCCCTGACCAATATCATGCCCATTTCCTTGCACTGTTATAAAGAGTTTGCAACAGTCCATCTTTGATTTTGAGATTCATGAAGCTTATAAATACTTCAATATCAGTTTTTAGAGCCAGAACATAAGCATTTTGAAAGCACATGTAGAACAACTCAATCCATTGATCATCAAAACTTTATTCCTTTCATCAATAATCACTCAAATAAGAATCCGAAATCCACAACACTCACAGCATTAACAAATATGCATCCACAAAAATGCAGCAATCAAACTTTAACCTCGAATAAATCCACACTCAAATCAATAAATTATTAAAATACATGAATATTCAAATTGGTCCAATCGAGGAAACGAAATTTGACAACTCTTCAATAGTAACGCTCACTGTATCAACTTCACAGATATCAAATCAACCAAACACTCAACCAACCAACAACAAATCGAATAATCTAATTAAATTCAGATTTCGAATACATAAATAAATAAATAAAGCAAACAACAAAACCAGAAAAAAGCAACTAACCAGATTACTGTTACAGCGATCGAGATCCAAGCACTTAACAGCAACAACTTCATTGGACGGCAAATAGATCGCTCTATAAACTGTTGCACTGGCTCCATAACCAACTTCTTCTAGAAGCTTATAGTCACTTGAATTGGCAGAGTAGGTTCTCTGATTCTGATTACGATGGCTTCCCAATCCCATCCTCCCCATACTGAAAAAAATTACCAAAAAACCACCTCAAACACTTCAAGTACTAGTCCTCAAGAGTTTCAGGTATATAGATTCAAAAGACGGTGATTTGTAGTGTTTTTGATCCGTTGACCGCCATAAGAAACGAAAACAAAGAGAGAATGGACTGGGTGTGTTTTGTTTTTGTTTTTGTTTTTGTTTGGGGGAGGACGGTGCTGACGTGGTTCGATGTTGTTAGGTGATCGGGATGGTAACACGTGGATAGTAGAAGTATCATCCGGTACGGCTCGGAGTCTTGGGACCCATTTATCATATTTACTATATAAACTTTTAAATTAAAGGAATATCGTAATTTTTATGCAGTGCCTGTGCTTCCTTTATGATAAAGTTTTTACTTGAATAGTATGTAGATATCTATTTTTGAGCTTGTGATTTTTCCCAATCTTGCTAATACAAATAGCAATATCGTATTCTTCTTGGTTTGCCGTTTAGATTTCATAGTCTAACTTTGAGTAACGATATTTTTTCCTACAAATTTTTAAAATATCAGTTAATTATCTAAATTTATATTATATTTCTGATTCTGATATCATTATGACCTCACACTACCACCATTCTCTTCTCCGTTCATCATTCATCAAAATCTCTCAAACCTTGCTCCGACCGACTTTGTCAATTGTCAGCAATCGAGCGATTAGGGTTTTTACAACTGTCCTTCTCAAATCAAATTGCAATCAATCCTAACTACCAAAATTTAATATTTCACTACTAAAATACTCATCGGCCTCCCATTTTTAAAAGTCCTAACAGTCTAGACCGAGTTTGCTCTCTGTTTGTCATCAGAATATAAATTTAGGTAATAAAATGTTATTTTAAAATTCTGTATATGGAAAAGTGTTATTAATCTATTGTTTGGATAGGAAAAAGTCATTAACTCTCTAACTTTTCCGTATCCCTAATTTAAGAGAAAACTATTTAAAAGATTTATTTTATTTTATTTTTGATATGATAAAATATGATTATTTTTAGTTTATTAGATAAAAAGTTTATCTACTTTTGTTCCGTTTTTACTCCTAGGTAACTTTTGTGCTTCCGCTCTGACAACTCTAATTTAGAGTCCACATGACTCCAGTACAGAATTTTTTTTTTAAACTATTCTTTAGATTTGTGCTAACAATTAAATATCAAATTTAATTATTAACAAAATTCAAAAATAAAATATACTGTTTTCTGAAAAGAAATAGTAAATGTATATAAGAGTTATTTTAGTTTTAAAAAAAATAAGAGATGGAAAATAAAAGTTTTACTTTAGCGCTGGATTTATCTGAGATCTAGTAATTCGAGCATTAAAATGACTTCCTAGCTACTAGAGTGAAAAGGGTAAAAATAAAAATAAATTGGATCAAGGGTCTTTACCTGCTAAGCCAATTAATAAAAAGTCAAATTGAAAGATTTTTTAAGTAATTATTTTCTAATTTAAATCTTGGAAATTAGCATGAATTATAGAAAAATATCAACTATTGATTTAGGTATAAAAATTTATCGTAATTGTGACAGATATCTATCTTTAATTTTTTATTTATATCCTTATGTATGATATTTAGCTTTAATATTTGGGGGCTTTTTGAAACTTTTATTTTACAAGGAGGTTTTATGTAATTTTATGTTTTAGAGGATTTTCGTAATTTTATAATATACCCAGGTTTGGACTTTCATGCCAAAACCAAGGCCCAGCCCGGATATACCCCGGGCCTGAATTTCCAGGCACGGGCCTGGGTGTTGTATATTCCTGGGCCGGGCCGCCCTAGGCCGGGTATTCTTGGTATATTGACCATAACATAAAAAAAATTCATCAAAATAACAACATTAGGATTGAATCTGTCAATGGAATTTATTAATCTCTCTACAAAAAATAATTAGTCTTCTTATAAAAAATTAATTAAAAAAAAAAAAAAAAAAAAGTTGCAACTCTTCAGAAAATTCGTGTGCGTCTTAAGCTCTTAACAGAAGCTTTAGAAACCAAGTAGCCGACCCCCAAGCACATGACCCATATTCCAACATCAACGGCCCAGCTTACTCCTTCAATATTCATTTCCTCTAAATCTCCACCGTCCGATTCACTCTCTTCCTCTCCACAAGAACAACAACAACGACACCCGTCTGATACATACCCATCAATATCAACCCCTCTTTCCTCCGGTATCTCCGCCAACTCCAACCCCTTACCGCACCTTCTTCCATTCCTCTTCCTCTTCACCACCATCTCCACCCTCTCAATCAACACCACGTTTCCTTCAAGCCCCACGCAGACATCAGCCACCGCCACCGCCACGTCATGATCCACCGAATTTATCTTCCTCTCCAGCGCGCTTTTACACTCTAGTTTCCATTCTTCTTCATCATCTTTTCTAAAAATTCCCTTCAAGACCTTCTCTTCTCTCAAATAAACCTCGAATGTAACTCCCTCACTTGCCACAACCCGTTCTCTGCTCCCGTAAATAGCCTCTCCGCTGCTCGTTTTCGCAGTTACATTCCGATGGAGAGTGACGAACGCCGGAGAATCGGGTCGGACGCTTTTACCCGATATTTCGAGAGCGGTTTCGTTGATGCGTGGGAGATAATCGAGAGTGAGAGATTCAGGTAACTGCTCCTTCCCATGCAAATTCGATAACCTAACAAAGAAAGATTTAACTTTTAGACGATCTTGATCGTTGAAGTAAGAACCCTGAAAATCTGTTGACCTGCACATCTTTGCAGCTCTACTGTTATTTTGCATCGCTCTCTTCGAGTTTGAGAAGATTTTATATGAATTGAAAGATCAAAAAGTGGTGGCGGCAACCAATGGTTTTGTTGGATTCGAGGGGTTCCTAGCACACGGTATTTTTGATGACGTGGAACAAACGACAAAACTGTTTTCTTATTTTGCCGGGTGTGAGGGCTTCCTTGAAGTTGCAACTTGCGAACGGCAAGTTGAAATTCGCCAAGGGATTATCCGGTGTTTCGAGGGCTAAGGGGTTAATGGACTTGCACGTTTGATAACCGTTCATTGTTCATGATGGGTGGACACAGATGAGTGCATGAACCTACTTTGTTTTTCGGGCAAAAGAAACGTTTTAGAAGTTTCTTGGAGGAGATAATATCTTTGAACAGATTTTGGGCCATTTTGGAAGGAGCCTGCCTTCTTGGCTTGATCTTTATTTGGATTGGGTTGACTCTGGTTAGCCCAGTCCGATAAATGGGCTTAAGCCTTTGAGTTTTGATGGCTGATAGTGGCCTTGTCAAATTGCGAATAAAGTCGAATTGATTTCCATCGCTAATTATTTGAGGGTCTCAATCGAAATCCCATACGAAAGGAATCCGCACACTAATCTTCAAATTATGGAGACTGTTTAATTTCAACGCCAACTTTATTCTTATCTGGAAAAAAAATACAGGACCTATCAATCATTAGTGTTGACAGTAAATATAATTAAAAAATAATCTCTAAATAGTTTGACGGTTCGTTTAAGACTCTTGAGTGTATTATTCAAGAGTTTTTTAATTCAAATTTTCACGACTATTATTAAGGGATAGTCATAAGAGGTTTATTTGATCGTTAACTTCAGAACTCCAAAGACTAATTAAAGTCAAATTAATTTTCATCGCTAATTATTTGAGGGTCTCAATCAAAATTCCATATGAAAGGAATCCGCACACTAATCTTCAAATTATGGAAACTGTTTAATTTCAACGCCAACTTTATTCTTATCTGGAAAAAAAACGCAGGACATATCAATCATTAGTGTTGACAGTAAATATAATTAAGAAATAACCTCTAGATAATTTGACTGTTTGTTTAAAACTCTTGAATGTATTATTAAAAAATTCTTAAGTTCAAATTCTCTGAACTACTAATAAATGATAGTCATGGAAGGCTTACTTAGTCGTTAATTTTAGGACTTTAAAAACTAATTAAGGTGTTTATAAACTAATCCGAACATCCTGGATAAAAATTAAAAAAAAATTATAGAATAAACCATTGTCATGTAGAATCTCTGAAGTGAAAAGGGCTTTCGGCTAAACATTTCAGTACAGTTTATGAATCCGAGATCATTTCAGTTTTGATGTAAAGATAAACTCTCAGCCATTCAAAAGTCAAAGCATGTGGTTGTTATTATCATGTTCATTATTGAAGATAAGAAAGCTTTTTGGATGGACTTGAACGAAATTTCAATCCACGCTTTTCTTTGATCCAAAAAAATCATTATGCCCACTACCCTTTTCAAGCTATCCAGCCGACTTGATCTTTTAGAGTTACAGTTTCAGTTTTTTTTTTTTATTTTTTTTTTTCCTACAAGAGAGTTTGACCAAAGTGCAAAATATGCAGATGCTTCATGCCTTTTTTTTACATTAAGGGTTATTAATTAAAGCTGAATCAGTTCGCCACGTGAAGAAATATACGAATATAATCTACAACGTATAGTTTCAGCTCCAATCGCCATCGAAATGCTCATGCCGTGTTTGTCTTTAAAAGATTTAGCTTGTGATATTATCCTCAAAATAGTGAGATGGGTACTGCAATTACGACTACACTTTTTTGTTATTCGAATTCTTGTTTGCATTATCCAGGCTGATAAATGATAAATAATTATTAATATTTTGTGGTGAAGAGAGAAAACTTTTTGCCAGTGGTCCTTTATGAAAACATATGGCTGTAACTCGGGAGGCTCTACCACCAGTCCACCACAACCAGTCAACCACGGAGGATTTTCGTAAAAGATCTTTGAAGTGACAGGGCGCTTATGTTTCGCCTAACATAGTCAAAAAACAATGCATATTTTCCACCCATCCATCTCTCTTTGATAGTGTTGGTATTTAATTTTGACATCAATAATTCGTATGTATAAAGTATTAAGCTAATTTAGAAATTATATATGAATGAAAAATGTAATAAAGTGAGTAGAAAATGATTTTTAAAGTGATTCGGATGTTTAAAGCGAATTTTACGTCTACTGTTCTTTTATATATATATGAGGTTACAAGAGGTCGCGTATAGCGAACAACGAGCAGAGGTATAAATGACTGATTATTCAAAGAGAATATCAAGTCAGTCTTTTTCTTGTAGGTTATTTATGTTTTGAGAATAAAATGTTATAATCAGGATGCGAGTTTTTTTATCAGAATCTTGAAAAAAAGAGGGGAAGCCCTCAATTTATAGTAGAAGATTTTAGGATAATGATTACAAATCTGCAAGTGGGTAAGTGTATTACAATTCCTATCGCGCTTCTCATTAGCTAATTACATAGGAGATATTCTCAAATCGCATAGGGCTTCGACAGGTGGGCGACTCTCATCCACTCATAGACAAAACCTGAGTCTGTCAAATTGATGACAATCATACTTTTTTTTTCTTTGGACGATGTGGCAACTCCTGGATGACATAAAACTTTCTTGAACTCTTATTAACACTTGCTGATGTAAGCTTGCGTCATCCCTTATTTTTTGGACATCTCATAGCTAGCTTTGGCCTTGAAAAAGAGTGATAGAATTTCACATTCTGGTGGAAGAATATAACCATGAATGGGGCCTGTTTCAAATGATACAAGAAGATACAGTTCTTCACTTGGCCATTATATCAATAAGAAAAAAACAATCCAATCCAAAGACTTTGAATCCTGGAAAAGTTGGGCAAGTTGTCTGTTAATAATTGAAGATTAAAAACTTAATATTTGGATGGATTCGAAATTTCAATCTTTAAGCCAAAAAATTCTTACGCTCAGGGCCATGTTGTCTGCTATTTCTTAACCTATGTGAATTACCTGTTCATTATTAGAATGTGTTAAATCAATGCAGATTCCAAGTTCACATTGGCCTGCTGCATGTGGTTGAAAATTATTAGCTAACCCATATACTCCAAT